TTTCCCTGCCTATCGACCGTTACACTTATCTTTCCCCAAAAAATGTTCGCTCATTTCGGGAACACTAAACGTACACAAACGACAAACTGTCTCAGATATCTCGTACGTTAAAGAAACAATTTACGCCGAATCCCGAAAACTGTATAAATTCTAAATTGGTGTTTTTGGTGGGCGATGACTTAAATGACCCACTAAGTAACTCGATGATTTCTCTGTATAATAATCGGAGATACGATAAAGACTTCACGGTAATGTCGTTATTTTAAATGGGTGTTATTTGTTAACTGAAATGGGCTATCTTTTGCGGTTTAATGATATTATGAGCCATTTAGATTTTTTGCATTCTTAGTAATTTTTTTCTGTAGATTTTTAATAATGATTTGTTATTTAGATTTAATCGAGCATTTAATCTAAAAACATTTTATTTGATCGAGGTTTTCCAAAAGTATAACTCTATACAGACTTAAAAGTTTGTGGTAAAACTTAATCAATTAAACTATAGTTAGAATAATAATGCATATATGCTGAAAAATACAGGGTTCGGCAATAGTGCGTCGGGCATGTGTAGCTCCTAGAATAAAAAACTTGGCAATTTTGTTTAAGTACAATCCTAAATTATCTACGAGGATGTATTTCAGGAAAATATTTTAACTTCTATAGGGTGGCTCAAAAAAGTGTGAGTATATAGATCGGGACGATTTTTTTTTAAATGGAACACCCTGTATATTATTGTATTTTTGGCTTCCTTTCTTATCTCTTGACATAATCTTAAGATATTATTAAATATGTTTTGATAGTTTCGGAGATATTTAATAAATAAATAAAAAACATATATTTTCACCCTTTCTTAAAAAAATATTACAAATACGAGAACTGTCCTGAAATCAAAACTATATTAGGTATTTACTTTAGATGGTCTATACTTACTTTGCTATAAATTTCGTATTCTTAAATCATACAGGGTGTTCAAAATTCTACCCCAAACTTTTTAAAATATAAAATAATTTATCTTCGTTTTTTTAAATGGAATACCCTGTATATTATTTTTTCAATAGATTGAGAATTAAAAAATGAACATTTTTTGTATTTAAAGCATTTCAAAATTTTTAATGGTTTCGCAGATACACGCAGATGTTTGTTTACACGATAATTTTGATACATTTCAATTACAAAGCTGAGATGAAAGTTTGTGTTTGTATACTGCTTCCATACGCTTGACATCGATTTCCTAGTATTCGCGGGTGTCAACTGCTTAATCTCCTTGCGATTTTTTTTTGCTTTCATGACCGAAGCGAAACATTTTTTTAGGCCGTGCCGCTTGACAGCTTCAAAACTGAAATAGTTTTTAGGTTAGGTTTGGGTGTCACTTAGTGATCATAGTATAGTCTGTAAGTCTGTAATAACTTTGAATTTGACAGTTCCCGCGGGCTTTTCTAGTGTTAATTTTATTAGGTTAGCAACTTGCGGCCATGCTGACGCAATGCCGTCTCTAATAGAATAGCCAAGCAACGAGATTTATGAAGTCACACTAGTTAGATACTACAAATTAATAACTATGTTGTAGAATACATGGAAAACATAATTATTCCTCGATTTGTTGGTTTGTATTTTAAAAATGATATAGTTTACATGAAATACATATAATATACAGTTAATAAATACAATATATATATACCTATTTATATTAATAAATACTTTGGCAGATAAACTATGAACCATACAAATGCAGCAAATGTTTTACAATATGACTGAAATCGTACTCCATAGTCAATGTAGATAGTTTTTGTGTTAAGAATAATAATTTAAAAAAATATGTGGTCATCTTTTGACAAGTTTATATTAGTTTATTAATTGCAGTAAACATTATAATATATAAATAAATTTTGTGAATGCAAATAATAATACATCACTATTAGTAGATATTGAATGTTTTTTGTTAAATTAGATCGATTTTCGACCCCCAAAATTTAAAATATATTTTACATTTTACCCATTATCTTATGTTCCACCTATTCATTATTTGTATATTGTAAAACATTTGCTGCATTTGTATGGTTCATGTTTATTAGCCAAAGTATTTATTATAATAAATATGTATATATCATATTGTATTTATTAACTGTATATTATGTATATTTCATGTAAACTATATCATTTTTAAAATACAAACCAAAAATACGAGGAATAATTATGTTTCCATGTATTCTCCAACATATTTATTAATCCGTATTATCTAACTAGCGTGACGCCATAAATCTCGCTCCGTAGCTGTTCTAATAGAGACGGCATTGGTCTAATATTTAGAAATGTCAAAAGCTGATGACATTTTACTTTTGTCAATTATGACATTTCGTGTTGATTTTTGCAAGAAGAGGAAGAATTGTCACTTGTTTTATTATTTTCCTTTTCTATTTCACGAAAGTAAAAAGAGTTACCTATCTGATTCGTTCAGGCTAGTTCAGGGACCCAATTTAAAGAATATCAGTAACTTTTTTGATAGAGGGATTTTATATTTGCCATGTTGGTAAAAAATAACGGTCAAAATTCAAAGTTATTCATTTTATAGACTACAACTAAATAATCTAACGACCAAAAATCGAAAAATACATTTTAATTATTTGATTTTCAAACACAATTTGGTGTGGAATTTTCTTACCGAATACCACACGAGGTCAAATTAAATCCGGACATTTTTTCTCGTCTTCGACTCTCTCTTATTACTAGTGAAAATTCATTGGGTAGATTTGATAAACATTTACTCTGGAAAGTGCTAGAAGAAATATAAAACAGAACATTTTTTACTTCTCCATCTATTGAAAAAATAATGTACAAGGTGTTCCAATTAAAAAAAACGAAAAAAAATTATTTTATATTTTAGAAAGTTTGACGTAGAATTTTGAGCATCCTGTATGATTTACCATTACCATATTTATAGCAAATTAAGTACAGACCATCTAAAGTAAATATTTAACATAGTTTTGATTGCAGGACTGTTCTTCTATTTTTAATAATTTTTGTTAAGAAAGACTAAAAAATATATTTTTTTAACTATTTATTAATATCTCTGAAACAATCGAAATATATTTACTCATATCTTATCATGCAAAAATGCAATAATATACAGGGTGTCCTATTTAAAAAAAACCATCACGATCCACAATATACTTTAGATTTGCACTTAACCTTTCCGGGACCGTGCGGGGTATTTTAGGTACCCCAAAAGCGCCTTTTCTTTAATAACTTTTACAATTTTTATTTTTTTACAACTTTTTTCCTCTCAGGTAATCCTAAAAAATATATGACAAAACCCTTTTTTAACAAAAATACCCAAATAATTATTTTATTTTTCGCGAAAAACTGAAATTTACTGCCTGGGGTACCTCCGTCACCCCGCGGCCTGCAGTGATTCGAAGAATTATATACTGATGATGGGCTAACAAAAAAGATAGCTGCCGAATTTGCTTCGAATTCTGGGTGTGAAAAGCAATTCTCTAGCAGAAGGACTTGTACTTCTAAACGTTCTAAGAAGGAAATAAAATAGCAACAATTTTCACAAAACTGTAAAAACAGTAAAAACTTTATTTTTTGCCGAAACCACAGCTCTCATGACTCCTGCTAAAGGGATTCAACCAAATTCAAACTGAAGAGTCGGCTTTTTGGCCAGATCACGTAACAGAAAAACAAAAATATTATGTAGTACATGCAAAATTATTTATAATATTTACCGCAAAGTATATAAAACGTTTTTGACTCCTGACTGGCCGAAATAATGGGTAGAAAATTAATAAGAGTTTAGTTTTAAAATTAAATGTCTTTTTTTATATATTAAACAAATGCAAACTATTTAAATTATTGACGTTTTATTATAAAACTTTACAAATAGTTATTGATAATTTAACTGAGTGACAAAATGTTAATAGATTTTGAAATATTTCAGTGGGGTATCATAGTTACCCCACACGGCCCGAAACGTAACTTTTTGTAGCACGGTCCCGGAAAGGTTAAACAAAATTCCCAAGTTTTTATATTCTAGGAGCTACATAATACCCGACACACTTTTGCCGGACCCTGTATAACCTTACAAAATATAACAGCGACACCCAGACTCTAGTAAAATAAGTAAATTATTAAATTGGCTCTTTTTACAACTTTTAATTGATTTTATTATATACAGGGTGAGTTCTACTGTCTATATATGTCGATAAAAAAAACATATTTACCGTTTTTCAAATAAGTCCAAAGTAACCGAGTTATTCTACTTTGAAAATTTCCGAAAAAAAAAATGATTTTTTGCTTAAACTTTGAGAATCACTGGATCTTTTCTGGGTTTTCTTTCTTGTAGATTTAATTTATTACCTATACAGGGTGGTCCGAACTGTATTCCGGAAACTTCGGCAGCATATTCTGCAGAAAAAAATAAGTAAAAAAGTTCGTATAAATGTATGTCCCAAAATGCTTACTTTTGGAGATACAGGGTAGAAAAGTTTCATTTTTATTTCGATTTTTTCCAAATGATTTATGAAGCTACGTCAAAATTTGAATAAAATTTGAAGCAACGTTAAAATTTGAATAAAAATTGGTGTCTGGGAGTTTTTTGACATGAGAAATTCGATTTTGGTTTGGTTTGGTTTGGCGCGCTCTACAAGTAGGTGTCATATTGACATTAAAATCAGATTTCTCATGTCAAAAAACCCCCAGACACCAATTTTCACCCAAATATTGACGTTACTTCAGAAATTATTCGGAAAAAATCGAAATAAAAATGAAACTTCTACACCCTGTATCTCCGAAACTAAGCATTTTAGGACATATATTTAAACGAACTTTTTTATTTATTTTTATATGCAGAATATGCTGCTGAAGTTTCCGGAATACAGTTCGGACCACCCTGTATATTGCCATATTATCAAGAAATTATGTTTTTTAACTAAAAACTAAAAAAAATCCAAATTTTCAAAAATTTTGATCTGTAAAAAATAATAGAAATCCAAACATCTTACCAGCAGTGTGTTCTGATCATCTCTGGCTAACGCCACAGGATGTATATCAGCTGGAAACTGGAATCTGCCTGACCCATATGGATGTTGGATGATCTATGGATGTAGGACTTCTGAACTGATCTTGACGGGACGCCGCAATGCCTCCCGAAGACACCAATTCCATGCCACAGGGTCGCATGCGTGGAGATCGCGCCATCCTCTGGACCACAATATAGCTCTTCGAGCTATCTGATTGGCTGCGGCAATCTGAGGAAAGGGCAAGATAATTTCGCAGTAGGAAGTTGAAGGGGGGAGGGGGGACGATTTGAGCTTTAGATGGAGAGAGTTTTTTTTTTAGTTTTTATCTTTACGTTAAAAGCCAATAATAAAACTAAAAAGATTTAAGATGAATTTACTGTTCAACTGAATATATTCTAAAATAAATTTTATAAAATAATGGTGAAATAATATGTAGGTCGTTCAACAAAGTTGAAGAGTTAATATTTTGGCCAACTGTATAACAAACTATTTAAATGAAAGAAAGGAACCTACGTTGTGTTAATAGTTATTTTTTATACAAGACGATAAAATATTATTTACTATTTACTGTGATTATCTGGGATGCGCCACACAGATGCAATATTTAGGAAAATTTGAGGAGAATAGTTTATGTAAATCAAACGCTAAATTTATAAATAGCCCTCCTTACTTTATTAAACGACATGAAAGGAGTGTCGTACTCTGCCTGGAATTCACAAGTAAAAGAGCACGACAGAGAAAACCTTGATCACTATTCCAAAGTATCCAACTATGTTTTAAACTTTAATAAAAGAGAAATAATAATTATATAAATACTGTCTTCCTACCAAGGTTTAACACACTTAAAACATTCATTACTGAAGAAGTTTTGTTAGTTAGCAGGTCCCCACCTGCAGGTACTGAGGTCCCTGGGTTCGGGAGGATACTCAGTAGCTCAGAGCCTATACAGGCCGAGGTTCAACAAATTAGAGACAAGCCGAAGTTCGGCATGGAGCTTCATTTTGTAGATCTTTAAACATCCTGAAACCCCAGCGATGAAGCGTTGAGCCCGTCACCCCAAAACCACCCCTACAAGGGGTAAAAATGGCGCTTTTTTTACTTTTTCTTCAATAACTCTAAAACTACGAATTTTAGGAAAAAAAGTCACGAGTAAAAAATTGAAGAGAAGAAAATTTCCTACCACATAGGTAAAGAACCGAAATTTTTTAGAATTTCAGTGGCGCAGGTGCGAATTCTTTAATTTAGGAGGATTGGTGGTGGAGATAATTTTTTTAAATGTGCGTTTTTTACATTTTAAAAACATTGAATAAGAAAAATTGCAGTTTTACAAATAATTTCCCATGAAACAGGTATATTGAAAAATTACACGTTTAATAACAATATAAGAAAAACCTTAGCTCAAAAATAGGATAACTTATTTTAAGGATAGTCCTCATTCACTTTCACATTTGTTGGGTTCGTACATGTAATGCCATTGCATTGACCACATGCTATAGTGCAGGTGAGTCCCATTCGTTTGCATGTACATGCTTTTTTACAGCCTCCCGAAGAGCAATTGCAAAAGTTTTTTCTCTAAAACCCATGTAGGAGCAATGGGCTGGTCTGAATGTATTGGATTCATCTCCAACCCAAATCTTGCGGTGGTAAATTGTTATTTAACCAAGCCTGTACCTGTAAGTTAAAAATGAGAATTTAGTTTAACATTTGAATTCAACATAAATTAAACTTACCTGATGAAAAACTCCAAAAAGTCCATGATACTTCGCACTATTGGAGGTAGGTGGTAATGATGCCAAGTTGAAGTTGGTATTAAGACTTCGTTTAGCTACGTACTTACGTACTGTTGATAAAGCCCAAGTAGCATTTTCACGACTTGCGACCACATGTTTACTAAACACAACTTTGGATTAGTTACAAAAAATAGTTAACTCGCTACCTTGGGTATTAAAATAAATTTAAACGTTTTTATAACGTTGTGCCGACGTTGGACTAGTACTACAGCAAAGTAGAAGCTTCTGCGACGTCGAATAAACGTTGTCTTGTAACCTTTTTTGCTTAAGTGATCTTTAGGTTATTCGGACAACGTAGTTACAACGTTGGACAATATAGAGTTTTCCGGCGTCAGTTTCAGGACCTATTCCAACGTTATGCAAACGTCGTCTGTTTTACTAATTCCAACGTTGTTTAGATTTCCTTATTCTTACGTTGGTAGGACGTCGGGTCACTACCTTTTTGCAACTGTATTGAACCATAACCTTAAATCTTAAATTTTCACTTCATTGTTCTGTTCAGTCAGACAGTTCAGTGCTGTTTTTGTTTTTATAAAAAAAAATTAATTAAAATGGGACATAAGAAAGGTACATATAAAACTAAATTTAAATATACATCGACATATATTACCGATAGTTTATCCACTCCCTCGTTTATTTAGATTATAGAGGGCGGCACAAGCTAGACTCTAGGATGACTAAATTAGGCAATCTTGCGACTAGTATACTACCTGTTAAGGCCGAACTGCGACTTTATTAGTCCAGTATGCGACTACTCGAACTACTCCATCTTAATCTCCAAAACAACAAAGTGCAAGCCGCCATGTTGTTAAATAAGAAAATGTTTCGTTTTTAAAATAGCAATTCCTGCTTTTTGAATACATTAACTTGAAATATTTGACCCTAAAAAACACGCGGAAACAATTTTTTCGACTGCGAATGAATTATTCTCATTTTACTAAAAAAAATTCAAGAAAATTTTTAAAACTTCTTTAATTTTAAGGCCCATTAGTATTTTTCAAAGTAGAAACAATACATTTATCAATAAAGTTGTTTGCGTTTAACTTTTTTTTGCCTTGGGTAACGAGTTACAGAGTCGGTTAAAGTGTTTCAATAATTATGATCTTCAAACATCCTCCACACTTAAATACTTTTGTTTTGTTTTCCTTCACTGCCATCTGACATATGTCTCTAACTAAACCATAAAAATAATATTTTTACTATAATTATCCCAATTTAGGATAAAACGCGACTTAGACGCCATATTAGTTTTGTATTTCTGTGAATTAGGATTTTAAACAGCGTTGCAGATTGTACTAAATTAGGCTTCTAGCCAACGTCGGTATCCAACGTCGTTTCGACCCAAAAATTATTCTCCAAACTAGTGCAGACTAGGGTTGGCACGAGGTTGTGCCGACGTTGCGCCCCGACGTTTGGTCGCGTGACACAACGTTGTCCCGACGTCCAAATGCTGCTTGGGGAAGTTGGTATTAAGACTTCGTTTAGCTACGTACTTACGTACTGTTGATAAAGCATATATCTGGCACTATCCAAATCTACTTTTTGTCGAGTTTTTAACATATGCTGCTATAAAAAACTGAGATCAGTACAGGCTTGGTTAAATAACAATTTACCACCGCAAGATTACGGTTGGAATCTGAAAAATCGAGAGATGAATCCAATACATTCAGACCAGCCCATTGCTCCTACATGGGTTTTAGAGAAAAATTTTAGCAATTGCTCTTCGGGAGGCTGTAAAAAAGCATGTACATGCAAGCGAATGGGACTCACCTGCACTATAGCATGTGGTCAATGCAATGGCATTACATATGAATGAACCCAACAAATGTGGAAGCGAATGAGGACTATCCTTAAGATAAGTTATCCTATTTTTGAGCTAAGGTTTTTCTTATTTTGTTATTAAACGTGTAATTTTTCAATATACCTGGAATGGGAAATTAAGTACTTGTAAAACTGCAATTTTTCTTCATCAATGTTTTTAAAATGTAAAAAACGCACATTTAAAAAAATTATCTCCGCCCCTGGTATATATACCATTCTTTGGTTTCGACTGCTTATTTGTGTGCTAAGAGATTCGCCCAGGCACGGTTGGAAAGTATTAGTACACTCAACAAGGCCCTTATTGTCACACTAAATGATACTGAACCAAAAAAAATCGGCACTAATGGACAGTAAACGATTGTCTTTAAATTTAGTCTTAAACTAGAAAGGCATATGTTATTTAATACCTTTATCCGATTTAAATAAATAAAGAAAAGCTTTAGCACAGAATATTTCAAAAGAATAACAAATTGTTTACTTTAGTTAACATTAGTTAAATAATGAAGAAACATTTACTTTACCTTTAATAACATTCTTTGTCACACTAACCAAAACGTACAAACCAAAATAACATCAATGCGTCTCGAATGGTAGTCTAAAAGCTATTACTTAACACCTATAATCTCTGTTCGTCGTCTGATTTCCCTCTCCCTAGTTTGTGAATAATATTGTAAAAATCAATAATTTTATTTATGTATACGGAGTGTCTTAAAACTGAATGTGTTTTGCATTTAAAGAAATACACACACCGAAAAAATCTAGGGATATCATTTCATTAAAGTTAAAAATAAATGTTTTGAATAAACAACCACATATTTGTAGGCCGCGATTCTTTCTACTTCGATTGAAACGAAGTAGTCACACTAGTTATTTCTAAATTTGGGATATTTGCAGAAGTGTTTGTGCATTTTTTGTCAAATGTATAAAAAGCACCTAGCATCAATTGTTCGAATTTAACCTGTACTGGCTATGTTTTTATGATAACTGGCCAGAATTCATTCAAATAACTCTGTTTAGTATTAAACGACATTATGGAGCGTAAACATCTTAACAGAGACGTTATGCTAAGGGCCATGGGTATGCTCTAAGCTGGAATGCGCCAAATCGACGTTGCTAGAGCATTAAATACAACTCAAAGTGTAATATCGCGATTAAATGCACGCTAATCGTGAAAGTGGTGATGTTGCTGAAAGGCACACAGGGCGACATCGCATTACTACCCCTCAGCAAGATTATTTTTTATATCTGTTCGCAATAGATTAAGAGAGGTCAACTTAAGAAGCAGACGCCCCTGGAGAGCTCAACCCTTAACGAGAGGAAATCGAGAGGTACGATATTTGTGGGCTCAAGATCATGTTCAGTGGTCGAATGAACAATGGGCCAATGTTCTCTTCACGGATGAGTCACGCTTTGGAATTCATCCGGATTCAAAAAGGCTTAGGGTATGGAGAGAACCGGAAAATCTTATTCGGTTGGATCATGTTCAGGAAGTGCAGCCTTATCAAGGTGGAACAGTTATGGTCGGGGGAGGAGTCCAGTTAGGCCGAAAAACCGATCTCGTTTATTTTGAAAGGTTTCTAGCAGGAATCACATATCGTGATTTAATTCTTGAGCCTGTCGTGTTACCATATGCCAATGATTTTGGGAGAAACATTCTCATGCATGACAATGCACGGCCTCATACAGCCAGAGTGGTAAGTGAGTTTATCAATGCTCATCAATTAAACATCTTACCCTGGCCGGCACAATCTCCTGACCTCAACCCCATCGAGCACGTATGGGACGCGGTCCAAAGAAGAATTTTGAGAATAGACATGCCTCGTGAAACTCGTAGGGATCTGGTTCGGGCCGTGAATGCAGCATGGCAGGCTGTACCTCAAGAAGAGATCGACAACCTGATGAGGAGCATGGAGAGACGATGTAGGGCGGTAATGAACAGTAGAGGCCATATCCTTTATTAAGTAAAAATGGTTTTATCTTTTTTTTAATTCACAGTTTAGAATAAAAAAAATGTATGTATTTTTTTGAGTTCAATAAAAATCAAGGTAAATTTAAAAAATTCGGTAAATTTCGCATTTTTATTTCCAATACGTCCTGTAAACTATTTGTTTATTTTAATTTTATTATATTAGAAATGCAAATAATAAAATTACTGACGATGGCTGGATAAAATTGTAATATCCCTAGACTTTTCCGGTGTGTGTATGTTTAAAATGCCCTGAAATATGCCGTGTGTAGTTGGTTAGGTTAGTTGATTTATTTATAATAACTACGATTAATATTATGCATATTATTAGATCGTACATTGAGATTTCAAATTCACAATAAAAAAAAGATAAAAATAATATCTTTATATTGCTGACCTGAATATTATTTATTTGAATCTTTCAATTGGCTCGATTTTCCTTAATCAATATTAATTAGCACTGATCAATATTGTTGCGATGAATATAATCAGATTAAATAATTTAAAAAAAACAGAGTCGGACTTGAAATTATTTTAAATAATAATTAAATAGTTTTGTTATTGTTAAGGTACCCAAAACAAAAAAAAAGTGTCAAGTGTGGCATATTATTGTACTCAAAAGACCAAGTTCTTTCAAAATTTGAAATAAAATATGCAGATCCGTATTTAAAAAAATTAAGTTGGCCTCTGTATCTCACAAATTATCAGCTAATTTGAAAATTTAAAAATACTATCAGATAGCCCTAACAAAGTGACTATAAAAATGTGCAATTAGTTTTTCGATTTTCTAAAAAGTAACGACAGGAAAAAATAAAATTGATTTTCAAAAAATCCGTTTTTTTTCCAAAAAACTCAGCAATCCTTGAAATTTTTAAAACTTTTTTAATGGCATCTTGGTGAACATCCCAAAAAGCAACTTTGCCCTAATTTAACTATGTTCGTGTCTATTATGGTTTCCGAGATACCAATGCTCGTACCTCGAATTTGTAGCACCCTGTATACTATTATTAGTACCTATAATCTCAGTATAATTCCAAAAATATGTTTAACATGCATATATTAATATTAAATATTTTTTTAACAATAGTACAAGGAACACAATAATTGTGTTACAGAAAATAATAAATTTCTATCATTTCCTAGCTTTTTGCATTGACAAAATAATTACCATATACAGCGCAATTATTGAGCTGTATATGGTAAACGTTTACTACATATACACAATTTATCTATACAGGATATATATTTTCATGTTTGTTTTTTTTTTAATTTCCTTCAAAATATGTATAAACATTTTAGAAGCAACATTTTTTATGAAGAATGCATTTTTCTCAAAATTGCAATAATAAAAAAGATTTTCCTCTTGTAAAGATAATCCGGGGAAATACTGTATTAAAAAAATCTACGGTCGGTGTTTCCAAAATATGAATAACATAAAAATATTCAATTAACAGTACAGATCTCCCATGTTTCATTACCAAGGGTCGATGTTGGCTGACATGTGCACAAATAATAAGTCAAGCAATTTTATGTCATGTTACGTTGTCAAATGGAATTACACGACTTTCCACTTTTCTTCCAATAATTAATCAAAAAATGTAGGTTATATAAGCTTGAGAATTTTCGAACCATAAAAATGAATAAAAATCAGTATTTTTTTTCAGTGCTAGATGGATTCACATTCAAAATTATATTTATATTGATCAAATTATACTTTTATATGTTTTAAAATTAGTAGATATTGACACTGTCTATTATAGATAGGTACAGGGTGAGTCAAATTCAAAACTTTTAAATGGAAACACCCTTTTCTATAGGAGATAGACGAAAACTAATATCGGTGTCTGGAGCTCAATTTTTGTCAAAAACATGATAGTGAAAACCACATATCTGTTACCGTTTCGGAGTTACGGGGTGTTTTTCAAAAATATGCACTTTTAACAAATCGCTGTAACTTTTTTGTTATGGAAAATTTTGTATTTTTATGAAAACATTTCCAAAGCACCTTTTTACGTAGAATTTAATGGTTTAAGTATAATTGTTTTAAAATTAATAATTTAAGAATTATCAACAGAAAATTTGATTTTTTATATGGGACACCCTGTGTATTTTTAATTTATTGAAAATAATTTAGAATTACCTCTCCAAAAATATAGCACACTTGATATTTTGCTCGATTCCTCTTCGAGATATAGAGTATATAAAAATTCGCCCGCTTTAAATAAGTAGGCTTTGAACGGCACCGGTTGTAATGCAAAAAAATCTAGCTATAAGCATCAATTAAAACGAAAATAATATTTGCTATGAGAGATGCAGAATTTTATAACTATTTAAAATATATTTAATCAACATCGACACATTTAAACTATATCTAATAACAAGAAAAATAAATAGCAAACCAAGACATGAGATTTTGCTATAGGTGTTCGACGTATCGACCGACTTCTGTTATGAACAGACGGGGCAGTTTTTGAACATTTCTCGCGGTATTCATTAACTCAGTGGGGGTGAAAGATACCCTCTCATAACTGCTAAGTATTTCTAATTCTTGTCTAGATTATACGGAAGAATAAGGAACCTTTATTTTTCCGCAAATATATCGATAGGATTAGATCCATGGGCACTAAGTCAGGCGGCCTCGACGGCCAACGGCTGGAATCTTGGTTGGCTATTCAATTATTCTTGAAATTGGATGCAAAAATTTGCTGATAACTTCAGCGTTCAGGGGCGGTGCGTCGTCTTGCTGGAAAAATATGTTCTCGAGTTCCATTAAGGGCATATCATCAATAATGGGTCCAAAGCCTACTAGTTAAAAGTGGCGAACTTTTAAAAATTCTGTATTTCGAAGGGGATTATAACAAAATATCAAGTGTGCTATATTTTTGGAAAGGTAATTTTAAATTCTTTTCAGTTAATTAAAAATATAGAGGGTGTCCCAAATAAAAAATCAATTTTTCTGTTGATAACTCTTACTTCTACGTAAAAAGATTCCGAATTTTCAAATTGTTTTTTTCACAACCAAACCAAACCTCATAGGCCTGTTTCTGGAGTTGAATTATAAATAAATAAATAATAAATAAACAACGCTTTATTGTACAAAAAGCCAAAATAGCTTCATCGACAACGCATTTACACAACAAACAAAAGCTATATACAGGGTGGTCCGAACTGTATTCCGGAAATTTCGGCAGCATATTCTGCAGATAAAAAAAGTAAAAAAGTTCGTATAAATGTATGTCCTAAAATACTTAGTTTCGGAGATACAGGGTGTAGAAGTTTCATTTTTATTTCGATTTTTTCTAAATAATTTCTGAAGTATTTTCTTTTTTCGCCCCCCTACAAATAGGTGTCATTTTGACATCAAAATCAAATTTCTGGTGTCACAAAACTCCCAGACGCCAATTTTCATCCAAATATTTACGTTATTTCTTAAATTATTTGGAAAAAATCGAAATAAAAATGAAATTTCTACACCCTGTATCTCCGAAACTAAGCATTTTAGGACATACATTTATACGAACTTTTTTACTTATTTTAATCTGCAGAATATGCTGCCGAAGTTTCCGGAATACAGTTCGAACCACCCTGTATACTATATACCAGTTAAAATACTTGCACTTATTTCTGGGACACGTTGTATATCAGGGATGGGCATGAACCATTTTTTTTACGTTTTGTATTTAAAATACACTTAAAAATTTAAAAACCAGTAAAATTATAAAAAATAGAACCAAAAATAGCAATAAATCAAATTTCTATCGTTTCCTAACTTTTTGCCCATTGACAAAATTAATATAATAACCAATAACAGCAAAAGAATATAGGTATTAGTGTTAATAAGATCACCTTTTCTAGCTAATGGAGAAACACTTTTAGATTTTTCTTTTATTTTGGAAAAATATAAAAAGCCCAAACCAAGGCCCAAACTTATAAATTAATAAAAAAAATTAAAATTTAAAATAAATTTTACATGTAAAAAAAAGTGTCTATCCCTGGATTTCCTTTAGAAAGTCCATCCCTGCTTTATATATGATTGTTCGTTGTGTATATCATATACAGACTTCTTATAAAGTATACAGAGATCATATATTAATTTCTAACCTTACATTTGCTGCATAGATTTTAAAATGTACAAAGATACAAATAAATAAAATCCTTTAATCATGAACGAATTTTTAAAATTAAACTGGTAAATATTTGTATATAATGTGAGCTAAAATACTTTTTAGTTGATATTTGTAGGCGCGTTAAAGATCTTGCCGATCTAGAACCACAAGAGTGTTTTATAAAAGACGAGGTGGTAGCCGATTCTTTGATTTACAAGCATTGCCAAAAGAAGAGGATATTTCAGCGTGGAAAGAAACAAAAAAATCAAATATTTCAGAACAAACGCTTTGTCCCTGGTGGCAACGTTAATATATTCACTGCAACGAAATCGACTTTGGATACCTTCGCTCATGAACATTGCTTACGAGCTTTAAAACTGTTTCAGTCAGGCAATAATTGTTCATCTCACAATGCTGTTGATAAGTTTGCTATTGAGATGTTTCAAGTAAGGATTTTAAAATGATATTACATGCTCTTTAGGACAAATCACAAATAAATATGTATTTTAGAAACTCAAACCAAGAATCATGGAGGAAAATGCTCAGTATCAATCGTTTGTATTCGACCAGTGGGTTAAAAAAGATAAGGAAGCGATCCAAGGTATTAAATCTAGTATTTATTTACACGGCAAAAATGCTTGGGTCAGAAAATGGCAAAGGATTTATTTTTATCCCCAATTTTACAGAGAGATGAGAATGTTTAACATGAGCTTCAGTGAGAACGAGAGTATTATAGAATTTAAGTTTATTAATAATGTCTTAGAACTGGTAAGTTCAGCGGTATATTTATGACTTTATGAAATATTAATTTATTAAGTTTTAGGGTACCTTAGCCAAATTTTTAAATCCGAATTTAAAAAGTGAATGTATATTAAAATGTGTTACTCTACCATCTATAGAAAAAACTGATATTCTGTATTCTAATTTACCAGGTAATTCTAGTATTTTTATAGATTTTGTATTATATAAATTATTATATATAAAATTTTTAGTCAATGAAGATAAGAATGTATATGATATTATAAAAAAGTACGATATAAATCTAGTGATATCTGCTAGCAGTTTAAAATGCATTTCAGACAATACTGATTTAAAAGCAAGATGGATGATACCTTTTAAAGTGAAATTAATAACTACCGAAAAAGGTAATCTTGTATGTAATATTACAAATTTTTCTCTATTTGTTAAACTTTTAGAAGACTGTGATAATTCTACAAAGAAAGTTGTGTTTATCGATAAACCATTTTCCCAAAATAATATATCCAATTTAGATTTAGCTTATATTAGTTTTAAACACTTGATTAAAACTAATTTCTGCCAGGTTGAAGCCTTTAAGTAAGTTCCTATTTTTTTTAAGACATTCACTTCAGTGGCGGATCGTCAGGGTGGGCAAGATTTTGGCAGATTTTGCAGAATTTAAGTGATTTATTACATTACATTATTTACTATCTTTGAATAAGAAGACTAAGGAAGGAGCATATCAAAAATCTTAGGTACACCGCGATGGGCCTCAAATATGGCCGACTTAAATTCCGGTTTATCAGTGTCGTTCTAATTTTATTTAAAAAATGTAAAACTATGATGTAGGGTAGACGTAGTGGGGACGTTAATAATTTGTTGTTTTATTTTACGTTGTGAATAAATGTTGGTAGTTATTAAAATTGTTATAAAAATATATAATTCTAATAAAAATAGATAAGTTATAATAAGTATTTATTAACACAAACATCCGATACGCTACTGAAGCAGGTAAGTCAAATTAACGTATCTAAATTCTTTGACATCTAATCTTTTACAAGTAATAAATAAAAGCTAAAATGCAAGAAAAATATACAGGGTGTTTCAAAACAAATGCGAAAAACTGTAGGGGGTGACTCCTTGTTCAAAATAAAGGGTAGTTTGCTTTATAAACGTTGGGTCAAAAGTCTACTATTAGGGAGATATCGCGGTACAAAGATGGCGGAAAAATAATGTTTTTATTTTTTATCTTGAAAACGGAAAGAGATAGACTAATGAAATTTTATGGAAGCATTACTGTTATAAAAACACACTTTCAGGTAATTTTTTTACTTTTTTAAAACGAGTGGAAGGGGTTGAAATAAACTACCCCTATCATTCTTGTTAACGAAATTTAAAGAAAAATCTTATCAAACACATGCAAATGCTTTAATTTGGATAGTTTAGTTTGTTTAGAAACTTTTTTACCTCTTGTGTTTTTTTGATAAAACTCACCGATTGGAAATTAAAAAATAAAATGTAAAGCATTACATGTCAGGACAAAAAACATTTTTAGATTAAGAAATAAAAACAGTTCCTGGGTAATACCGATTTTGGAATTATTGTTTTTGGTCTCTTCCTGTTTCACCGAAATGATTACATCTTTTGATTTTTAAAGGCACCCTCGGTATATTTCTACTTTATTCGATAGAAAATGACACTCTGAATAGAATGACATATCATATGTCAACTTTTGACATTTTTGCATATGGTTTAATTGTAATTGTAACACGCGGTTCATAACGACAATTTGACTCGAAATACAATATACGTGAGTGTTTGGTATCAATATATTCATAAAAAAATGCTTTTTCCAAATATGCTAATGAGTCACCCTTGTTCCGTTTGAAAAAATTGACATATGTATGATTAAAAATACGATTTGTACATCTTTTAACCGGCCTAGACAAGACACGAAACCCATTAGACAATCAAAACTATTTTTCCAAGACTCCTTGATTAAAACTTAGTGTTTTTAACAACACCATGGCACCCTGGATTGAAACTTAAAATACGATTTATTTTTAAGCGACAATGTCAAAAGTTGACATATGATATGTCATTCTATTCAGAGTGTCATTTTTTATCGAATAAAGTAGAAATATACTGAGGGTGCCTTTAAAAATCAAAAGATGTAATCATTTCGGTGAAACAGGAAGAGACCAAAAACAATTGAATACGTCAATAAATCCTAATTTATATCATATACCTACTAACATACAAATCTGTTTTTTTTTTATCTGAAAAAATAAAAAAGTTATAGGGGGTGAGCCACTTTTGAGACGACCCGGTATATTAAAAAATATTGTTTCATAATGTAATATCATTTTAAAATTCTTGTATGTTATTTTAGAACATAATTTTAGAATAAACCGGAATATATTTTTAATAAAAACATTATTAATTATTAACAGGGTTATAATTATGATTCTGTTACAATGTAAGTAAGTAAATAATGTAATGTAAAAGAAAAAAATCAGATTTTACATTTTACTAAAATATTATCTAAATAAGCGCCTTTTTACAACAACGCCACTGACTCCTAATGGGTAAATTGAGAGTTGCCTACCGGTCGAAAGTCGTTTCAAGACTTAAATAGTTCAAATTGTTTTGTTTGTTACTACACCATTTACAAGTACTTCGGTTGAGAGGCATTTTTCATGTTTGAAATGCATTCAAATTTATAGTAGAGATTCCATGAAAAATAAACGTTTATCGCCACTTGCCTACTTTCAATCTAAAAAGATCTTTTCACAGCTCTTCAACAATCTGATAATTTTACTGATATAATATTAAATAACTTTTCTTTATTAAGAGACCGACTCGTCAATTTAATATATAAAACCCTTGTATATATATTTTTAAAGTAGATCAACCTAAGACGTTTATGGCCTAAGACTACTAGATGGCAGGACCGGTTTCCCTACAGAAAAATATTTTTTGTTACTCTGAATTTTGAAGCTACCAATAAAAACAGAGAAAATATAAATCGATAATTTTCGGACTGTGCCAATTGGTTACTAATCGACCAGATACTTTTTGTCTATTAGATATGCTATAAAAGCTGGTAATTATACAATTCGACCATTGTAAATACCCGACAAATTCCGCAAGGCCGACGAGGCCGATGCTTTTCACTGATAAGAAAAAAAAATGTTTGTTTAGATAATTTCGAGAAGTTCAAGGCTTACTAGATATTTCGAAAAACACAAATTTTGGCTATTTTAAAACTTGTCTCTAATTCCATTATAATCTACCGTATGATCGAATAAAAACGGAGTCAACGATGGCTATGAAATGAAGATCGTTGTCATTCTATATGTAAAATTATATGGGAAATAGCATCGATCGTCATTTCATAGCCAACGCTGACGCCGTTTTTATTCGATCATATGGTATTTTAGACAAAAAGTTTTCAGCTAAAAGTTGTAGATAATCACATACCTAATGAGTTTGTGTTTTCTGTTTTTTTTTCTAAAGCCTGTCATTTTTGACATATGACACAAACATTATGTTTTTTTTAAATGGAAATTCTAGTGGGCCATGACTTCATAAAAAGCGCCATTCTTTAAGCTTTTCAGCGATATAGGTATAATATGTTTTCTTTCGAACAATTACAAGTTATAGCCAATTCTTTTCTTTCTGGGCTAATTCCCATACCAATAATACCATGTCAATTAGTTGGCATCAAAAATGTAAAAAGTTCTATGTTTTCAAAAAAAAAATATCGTAAAATTCGTAAGCACTCAATTTAGAATAAAATAATCTAAGAATGAAATGATTCTTTTATAAACCTGCATTAAATCAAATTAAAATAGGTATGTAACTTTTTTTTTAAATATTATTTAACAACAATTAGCGTTATCATAAATTATAAATAATGTACCAACATATCGAAATAATAATTTCTTTGTTAATACGGTTTAGAATTCTTAAAATAACAGGCAAAAATAATCCACAATTTACAATAAAATAAAAGTTTCGTTTAAATGATCTGCTGATCATTATTAACCGTTCGCAGAAACCCGGGCTATATTATTACATTACTCTGAGGAAAATAACGAAAATAATCGATATTTTTGACTCCGCCCCGAAAGGTTCACGATTTGTCCTCCAGTTGGCAGCACAATTTGTCTAGTCGGTTGAACAACTTTAAGAATATATAAACAAGGATAAAACTTAATTATTCTTTCTCTCAATACTACCAATTTTTAAGTTTGCGTAAATAAGTAAAAATAAAGGAAAATTCTATGATGTACTCCATAATGACTCCATAGTAATAGATAAAAAAATAATAGATAAAATAGATTAATAAAAACTATACTTGTACATTATGTCATTACGTTGAATGCTGTTATTTTTGCTTTAGTTTTGTCCTAAATATTTTGCTATGTTTTTAATTCAGAGTTAACATATATTTACAAACTGGACTAGGGTATTATGTAAATTAGGGGGGGGGGGGCAAATAGACGCAACTAAAATTTTGTCGCCTATACCCAGTCACACGGGTCACGAGTCGCCACTGATTCAGTTATGATAAAAAGGCATATTTTGATAGGTTTGGCCAAGATGAAAAAACTATTACTCCGGAAGACATCGAAAACAGTTCTGGTGTATTAGGCAACGATTTTGGTAATTACTAAGTCAGTAAAATTTGCCCTAACCCTAATGTCTGTTGCAATTTCTCTTTTAGAGTCTGAAAGTTATTTAAATAAGCACGATAATAAAATTCATCACAATGTAAACTATCGCATTTGGAACATAAAAAAGACTGATTGTCGGAACAACCTTATGAAGCACAAAGTGAAAACAACGGAATTTAATGTTCTAATTCGAAGTAAACTAGATGCATGTGAGGTAAGTATTTTTTATAGGTACTTTATAGCAAAATAAAACACTAACTCACAACAATACACCAACACACTTCTACTTTTACACTGGACGCGCGTTTCGCTAACCACGTTAGCATCATCAGCAGATGATTATAAACTAAAATACAGTCTACAAGTTGAGCGTTTGTATACTCGCTCAGTGGGCACCGAGTGGGCGTGGCAAGATCTAGCCAACCGAGTCAGAGCCCACCGAGCGTAACAGTTAAATTTCCGTCACTAGAGTAGTAGGAACAAAGAACTTGAAGGAATTGGACTGTTGTCTCTGTTCATACTATCTTTACATTCATTAATTCTGATGCTTTCATATGCATCTAATTGCCTATAATTTGAGACTTGTTTAATTAATTTTAAAATATTAAGATCTATACAATGTTCTTTATCAACAATATGTTCGGCAACGCAAGATTTATCCGGTCTACCATATCTTATCTGAGCTAAATGTTCTTTAAATCTAGTTCATACTGATCCTTGTTTATATATTCTTAAAGTTGTTCAACCGACTAGACAAAATGTGCTGCCAACTGGAGGACAAATCGTGAACCTTTCGGGGCGGAGTCAAAAATATCGATTATTTTCGTTATTTTCCTCAGAGTAATGTAATAATATAGCCCGGGTTTCTGCGAACTTTAATAGTGATCAGCTGATTAAGAAATTTAAACGATACTTTTATTTTATTGTAAATTGTGGATTATTTTTGCCTGTTATTTAATACGGTTTAGAATTTTAAACTGTATTAACAAAGAAATTATTATTTCGATATGTTGGTACATTATTTATAATAACTTTATGATAATGCTAATTGCTGTTGATTAATATTTAAAAAAAAGTTGCATACCTATTTTAATTTGATTTAATGCAGGTTTATAAAAGAATCATTTCATTCTTAGATTATTTTATTCTAAATTGAGTGTTTTACGAATTTTACGATATTTTTTTGAAAACATAAACTTTTTACATTTTTGATGCCAACTAATTGGTATGGTATTATTGGTATGGAAATTAGCCAAGAAAGAAAAGAATTGGCTATAACTTTTTTCGAATTTTTCGAAAAAAACATATTATACCTATATCACTGAAAAGCTTAAAAAAATGGCGCTTTTTATGAAGTCATGGCCAACTATATATAATCAACAATCATTTAAAAAAAACATAATGTTTCTGTCATATGTCAAAAATGACAGGCTTTAGAAAAAAAAGGAAACACAAACTCATTAGGTATGTGATTACAACTTACGTATATTACGTATCTACAATTTTATCTGAAAACTTTTTGTCTAAAAATACCGTATGATCGAATAAAAACGGCGTCAGCGATGGCTATGAAATGACGATCCATGATATTTCCCATATAATTTTACATATAAAATGACAGCGATCTTCATTTCATAGCCATCGTTGACGCCGTTTTTATTCGATCATACGGTAGATTATAATGGAATTAGAGACAAGTTTTAAAATAGCCAAAATTTGTTTTTTTCGAAATATCTAGCAAGCCTTGAACTTCTCCGAAAAATCCGAAAGGCGCATATTTATGACTCCACAAAACTGCAATTCTTTCCCCATTTAACCGACTCTCTATCTCCAGTAGTTTCCGAGATACCCACAGAGAACATCGTAGGAAACTCACACTGTATAGTATTTAGAAACTAACTATTATTATTTGACTAGATTAATTTGATTAATAAGACTTGATTAATTTAATTTAAAATAAATTTGATGAGATTTTTTTTTCGATTCTACTACTAGAAAACCAAAATTATATGATAACGCACTTTTCAACGAAGTTGAAGGAAGATATAATCACAATACTTAATAGAATTACTACAATTAGAAGAAAAACAAAAAGAAAAAATACCTAAATACCTTCACCTACTACTCATCTACAAAATACACTAATATAATCTCTTATAAAAACACTACACAAGTACTTCTTCACTACTTCAACCACTTCTACACTGAAAAAATTATCAAACTTACTAATTAATCAAACAAAAAGAAAAAATAACCAAATTATCCTTTCACCTACTACTTAACTACAAAATAATAAACTATAAAAACACTACTAAACTATTTCTGGTATTCTACACTAAACATTATAATTATACTTAATAAAATTAATCTAATTTTACACTACAACCACTACAACTACAAAGAAATATATATATATATCATTTTTTAAAACTAGAAGAAACAGAAGTTCGATACGTGCGACCAGTATAATAGATCAAGCGGACCAAGAATATAAAATACTTTAAAAATGTGCATTCAGAAAGAAAAAAATATCTCGAAAATTATCTAAACAAACATTTTTTTTTTCTTATCAGTGAAAAGCATCGGCCTCGTCGGCCTTGCGGAATTTGTCGGGTATTTACGATGGTCGAATTGTATAGTTACCAGGTTTTATAGCATATCTAATAGACAAAAAGTATCTGGGCGATTAGTAACCAATTGGCACAGTCCGAAAATTATCGATTTTTATTTTCTCTGTTTTTATTGGTCGCCTCAAAATTCAGAGTAACAAAAAATATTTTTCTGTAGTAAAAGACCATGAAATACGCCCCGCCATCTGGTGTTTTACATCCATAAACGTCTTAGGTTGAGCTACTTTAAAAATTCATATACAAGGATACTGATCTTCTAGTTTGCCCAACATATTTCTGATTACAATTTTTACAAGAAATTTCATAAATACCCGACCTTTCCAGTGGAGGTGTTTTATCCTTTGGATTACCTAATAATTGTTGTAATTTATTATTAACACTATACACAAGTTTATAATTGACATTCTTAAAAATTCCTTTTAGACCACGGGATAACTCTCTATCGAACGGTATTGAAAAATATTTTGACGTATCTTTCAACAATACTCCTTATCGAATAGCGCGAGCAACCCTGTATAATAAACCTGTAAAATAACTAAAACTAATTTTAGTGCCACGAAAATGGAGCTCTTCAGCCTGTGGTACTAAAACCAAAACTGGAAACGCAGCTTAGATATGGAGCAAAAATAACATCAAAGTCAGAGTTGGCCAGGGAATGGGTTTCGTTATTTTTCACGCCATATTCTAATTTATATAGAGGTTTGTTGAATAACATCTACCGTATAATCGAAAGAAAAACGGCGTCAGCGATGGCTATGAAATAAAGATCGCTGTCATTTTTTACAGGGTTGCTGTTATGTCGATTATTAGGTGAAATATAGGAGGTACCGTAAAAAGTTAAATGTAACAGTTATAGGGTTTATAAATATCTATTAGCGGGTAATAAATTTAAGTATACAGGGTTGGTCATAAAGTCGTGGCACATCAAAGTTTCATTTTTTTTAAATGGAACCCCCTGTATATTATTGCATGTTTCGGTTCTTCCTTCAATTCTAAGCAAAAATCGAAATACACACAATGTACGTCAAACCAACCGTTTCCGAGTTATTGACTTTTGAAAATATTACTTAAACAATTTGATTAATTTCGATATGTTCAGTTAGGTTAGGTTAACTTAATAATATTTGACATTAGTTCTCAAGTTAACATTTATAGATATATAAAATGAGAGTATATCAAGTCTGGAAACTACAAAATTTTCGTTTAACATTTCAATTCTTCAATTTATGTACAGGGTGGACCATTTTGGTTGTTTCTATAGGGTATCTAGGAAACCGTGAGAAATATTCAAATTTTGATACTGCAGTCTCGGGTTCTTTTTTTGAAAAAATCACAATGCCGCAAACGGATCGTGGCTATCTTGATCGGTTTCGAAGCTACAGGGGATTCTCATTTTTTTTACTTTTTGAAGATGTTCGATAGTTTGTTTATTTCAACAACTAGGCAAAAATGAATTAAACATTCTAAAGACACTTTTCTGTGTAGAATGCAGTGGCGTAATCAGACTTGTTTCGAAAAAAATATTTTTTTAGATATTAACTATATTTATGTTTTTTTAAATACAATCCCCTGTATATTTTGAAGTTTCCTGATTCAGTTTGGCATGAGCTTCTCGAAAATATATAACACTATATAGTTATTTTCACTATTAACTTTAAAATTCCAATTTATTTAAAGATATCGACTTTCCTCTTGGTAGGTCATGCCGAGTATTAAAGGAAACAAGCGAATATCTACTTTCAAATTAATCCATGTATTAGCAATTAAATAAATTCGAAAAATACGAAGCAAATAAAAATAAGTGTGACAGAAACAAAAGAACACTGATGCAGAAGTTTCCAAAAGCGGCAGAAAATCAAAATATCAAAAGTATTTTTTCTAATTATAATTTCACTCGTATAGTTCCTAATAGACCATATTTTCAGAACCGTGAAGATTTTTGAATGAAAACGGGCCCATTATTAATCCCTGATAAGAAATGTTCGAGCTTATAAAATTATTAGCTGAAGCTAAAATATTTTGATTAAATTTTGATTAAATAAAATTAGTGCGTTTAACGTTGGTGATAAATTAGTTAAAAACTGATGGTACTCTGAGAAAGTACAATGTTTTCAACTGTTTTTCTTCATGGTAATTCTAGTTTTAACTTCCCTGGTACCATAAAAAAAATCAATAAAGACCTTGATGTAATTAAGAACTGCTTAATCTGAAATCACATTTTATGTAAGCTAATACAAAATGCTCCAAATTGCTCCAAAAAAATATGATGTAGGTTACAATTATTAGCCTTTTTTCTTCATAACTACGAAGTTTCATGACCAACATTAGCCCACAAATACCCTTTAGGTTGCCTAACTCTCCCGAAAACCATGGTTTAGTTTCCCAAAATAAATTACGTATGACATTATATTACTGAGTGTTTCTTAGGTGCTGTAAAATATTGTTGTTGGTTATTTTTAATTAGTTTTAGAAAGAAAACTGTAATATATTTTCTCTTATTCAATTTAATTTTCGATATGCAAAGTATTCAAATTTAAAAATACTTTTTATTGTGTAATTTTAACTAGCTTTTCCCTGTTAAGCCTAAGTTTTTATTCGTTTTGTGCTTATATGACATTAAATTTAATATTAGAAATCTCATGAATTTTTAATAATTATTGTTAATATAAACTAAAAAGACGTGTCAATGTGTCTATCATGCGTCAATATTCATTCAACAACTTATATCAAGAATGTCATGCACCTTCTAGATACTAATTTTCTCAGATATAGTAAGAGATCACCAAGACTTCTCCTGTCAAGTAAAATAGAACAGCATCCTGAGGCTCCAAAACTTATTATAGATTAAATTATTCTATTTTTTTATCCATTTGCTAAATCCAACTTAAATATATTATCCATCTTATCTAGAAGCTTTAGGGTAATTTTTAGTTTCTTTTTCTTGCGTATTAAATTCTTGTAACAAGTTCTAATTATTATCTAAGTATAATATTTTTACTACAGGTAGTTACAGATATTTCTAAATTATAGAACATTTAAAAATATAACTAAAATTAAATGGTTGTAGTGAACAACTGCTTACATCTAATGCGAAAAGAGCGCTCAGTCTTTTAGATGTTTTGGTGTTACCCTTAATCAAGGGTGTTACTTTCATTAATATTACATTAAAGCCCCAGAGAAAGAAGTCTAAGAGAGTGATATCAGATGACCTAGGTGGCTAGGATTAAACTATTTTCTGACCTTTTAAAAATGGCTGGGTTTGGTTGCTCGCGCTCAAAATACCGCTCAAAATATAAATCAGCTGCCATTTTCTTATGTTTGTTAGACCTCAATATAACATTCTAACATATTATATTTCTCAAAATTTTCAAATTTACTCATTTTTTTATTATTTAAAATACACACACTTCAATCTGTTGAAATGAAATGTCACGCATCTATCAAAGGTATGTGCCGATCACCATGGCAACCGTTTACTTTGTTACTCGGCGCGGCCTACTATACTAACTGGATATTTTAAGAAAAATTTGAAATGTTTGAGGTTAATAATGAAAATAAATATAGAGTGTTATATATTTTCGAGAAGCCCATGCCAAGCTGAATCAGGAAATTTAAAAATATTCAGGGGGTTCTATTTAAAAAAACAGAAGTATAGTTAATATCTAAAAAAATATTTTTTTCGCATAAAGTCTGACTACGCCACTGCATTCTACACAGAAAACTGCCTTTAGAATGTATAATTAATTTTTGCGTAGTTGCTGAAATAAACAAACTATCGAACATCTTCAAAAAGTAAAAAAATTGAGAATAACCTGTAGCTTCGAAACCGATCAAGATAGCCACGATCCGTTTGCGGCATTGTGATTTTTTCAAAAAAAGAATCCGAGACTGCAGTATCAAAATTTGAATATTTCTTACGGTTCTCGAGATACCCTATAGAAACAACCAAAATGGTCCACCCTGTACATTGTGTATTTAATAAGCATTTAAAACCCCATTACAACAATATCACAGTTTCGGCAGAATGGCATCATTAAATCAAACCAAACATTTCGAAATTAATTAAATCGAATAATTGTTTAAGTGGTATTTTCAAAAGTCAATAACTCGGAAACGGCTGGTTTGAGGTACATTGTGTGTATTTCGATTTTTGCTTAGAATTGAAGGAAGAACCGAAATATGCAATAATATACAGGGGGTTACATTTAAAAAAATGAAACTTTGATGTGCCACGACATTATGAACGACCCTGTTAAAGTCCTATATAACTTTCGTATTTAACTTTTTTCGATACCTCGTATATTTGACCTAATAATCGATGTAAATTTATATGGGAAATGTCATCGTTCTTCATTTCCTAGCCAACTGGACGCCGTTTTTTTCGATCATACGGTACTTCTAACTTCTAAGTAAACATTATTGTGTAATAAGTTTATGGACTTTTTTATTATTTAGTGAGATTGTCGCCAACATCTGGAGAAGTAATATGTGTAGATAAATGTACCATACAGAAAGTTGCCGCTGAGGCTCAGACTCATTATCAATATAAACCTCAGCTAAGTTTAGGAGTTTTACAAAAGGTTTTTGAAGAGCTTATAAACCTGGAACCGGGAGACTACTTACTTCAACATCTACCTAAACATGAGGCTTTTGTAGCCATTTTGAAAAAGGACGAATCGAGGTAGTTATTTATATCTTGCTTCTCAAGGATTGTTTATCATCATAAAACCGCTTCATCATTCAACTTTTTCATTGAATTTTATATACGGGGTGGTCCGAACTGTATTCCGGAAACTTCAGCAGAATATATTCTTAAAATTTATGGCCTATAGTGCTTATTTTCGGAGATACAGGGTGTAGAAGTTTCATTTTTATTTCGATTTTTTCCAAATAATTTATGAAGTAACTAGGGAATGCAATCCCGCAAATGCTGGATTCCGCAATTGCGGGATCCCTCTGAGATTCCGCGGGATCGAAGTTGCGGGAATTATCGTGCGGGATCCGCGGGATTGACACATTACTACTGGGTAACCGAATCGATCTCGATCAAGGTCAAACCCCTTCATTCCCGGGCCGATGAGTCGACGCTTGGAACCCGGGGGACCCGTTTAACTAGTACCTGTGGACAATTTCGTCAAATAAACTGCCGGACATAATTATCGGGACAAGCAAAATTTTAGGGTAAATTTAAAGTTGAATATCTCTTGAACTAAAAAAGATTTTGGGATGCGGTTTGGACCAGGTTTTAGATGCATTTATTGTGATTAAGATGCTATGTGGTTTTCGAAAATATATATAGCGAATTCTCGTATACAGGGTGTTTTACAAGAGAGTGAAAATTTGGTCAAGAATCTTTTTTTACCGCAAATTTACGAGTTTTAAAAAATCGAAATTTTTACCAAGTACGACTAATCTGTATTGAAATTAGAAAAAACAATTTGATCGGTATTTTAATTTTTTTTGTTTTAAGGAAAATTGACTTTATTTCGAAAAATATTCATTTTTAGTCATATGTATGAAGTGGTACAAAAAGTTTTGTACAGCTGATTCCAATAAAATTGAATACAATTTAAAACATATTGTTATTATTTCAGGCAGTATATTTTATGATACCAGTCTCCCATTTCTCTACTTATGTCATGCTGACGTTCTGAAAAATTTATTTGCCACTTTGTCAAAAGCAAAGTTGTTTTAAACAATGTCACAATAAACTTAACATGTCAAAATACTTGACACATAAATATACACTGCTCAAATATTTGAAAAAAATGTGTAAAGAGTCGTATTCATTTTTTTTTGGAACCAGCTGTACATTCTGCATATGCCAAAATATTATTGATATAGAGTATATCTAAAAGCAGATAACTAACACAAGTTAAAAAAAACTTCAACATCAGAATAATATTTTTATTTATAAAATAAGTAGATAAATTATCATAAAATTTAAGTTTATTTAATATTAAATATATTTTTTGAACACCCTGTATAAATCGGTCTAAATTTCTGTACAGCTAGTTTAAGATACACGCTATATCAATATATCGTAGGCCTATGCAAAATGTACAATGCCTTTTGTACCATTTAGGACCAAATGTATGACTATTTTTTACAGCAATTTCGCGGATCCGCGGGATTGATTGCTTTAATCCCGCGGGTTTGCGGGATTGAGATTTTGGTGCGGGATTGCATTCCCTAGAAGTAACGTCAATATTTGGATGAAAATTTGTGTCTGGGACTTTTTCGACATGAGAAATTTAATTTTGATGTCAATCTTACACCTACTTGTAGAGGGCGCCATCTGCATATTTTTTAACCTGGTTTGAAGAGTAATAACTTTTCTTCCGCACCTGTATAAAACTACCGAGTAAAAAAATATACACTTCCGTGGTTTTTTACATAAAAAAGGTCTCTTGGTAAAAATCGCTACGAGTTATGGTTCTCGAGATATTTGGAATTGAAATTATCAATAATATGTCATCATTGACATAAATTAAACATGTTAACTAAATAGTTATTAGACTGAAATCATAAATTTGAAATGTTTTTGTGCCAAAAGTTCAATAGGAACTGTTTTATCATCATTTTTCGAAGAAGAATTTATGATTAATTTAAAAAAATAAGTTCCTAACCAAATTTATCATTTCAGTCAAATAACTATATCTACTCAACATCATGTTTATTTTTTGTCAATAATGACATGTATTGACTATTTCCATCCTAAATATCTTGAGAACGGTTGCTAGTAGTGATTTTTACTCAGTAGTTTTTTATACAGGTACAGGCAAAAAGTTATTACTCTCCAAAACAGTTAAAACACTTTTGGTTGCGTCCCCTACAAATAGGAGTCATATTGGCATCAAAATAAAATGTCTCATGGCAAAAAACTCCCAGGCACCAATTTTCATCCAAATATTGACGTTACTTCAAAAATTATTTAGAAAAAATTGAAATACAAATGAAACTTCTACACCCTGTATCTCCGAAACTAAGGATTTTAGGACATACATTTATAAGAACTTTTTTACTTACCTTTATCTGCAGAATATGCTGTCGAAGTTTCCGCAATACAGTTCGGACCACTATCTGATTGAAAAAAGCTGTGTCACAGTGGTCTTTGAAATGATCATCATAGATCACTGTGACGCCATTTTTTTTTTGGTTTCATGATACCATTTTTCTTTATCCTTTTAGCACTTCAAACGACAACTTTGACTTCCATGCAGAATATACTAATGCAGTAGTAGATACTGCTCCAAAACAATGGTTACCTATTGATGTTAACTACATCTTACCTTCGTTTGAAACAAATAAGCGGCTACCAGGAATGTTCACCCCGCGAACGATAATAAACAAACCAAATAAGAATAAACAGAACAGGAGGAATCAAACGAAAATAAGAGAACCTTTACAATGATAGTTATAAACTGTTTTATTTTAATTAAGCATAATAAACAAACATTAATTAATTAAATTGCTGGTTTTACACTCTCAACACTTCGGTATGTCGATATTTACTAATTTACAAAATAAAAGAAGTATTAGTTGCTACAGTTATTAACCCAAAAATGCCTTTTAAAAAATTGTTAAATATGTACAGTATAACATATAAAAGATTTTGCAAAATCAGCACTACATCAAACCAAGGATATTAATGTTTAGGGCTCAGGTAAAGTATATATTAAAATAGGAAAAATACAGTCTGTTTTCATTAACATTTTTTAGATGTAATACAATTCTGTTAAACCTATGACAGCTTTTTAGCTTTTTGATAAAGTGTATCTACTACTTTGCTCATACTTTGAATTGTCTCTAATGCCATTTCGTAAGTTTTATCTACTGGAGTTTCTTCAAAAATAATTAGAACACCTAAAACATTTCATTTAATTATATTTCAATAAACATGCTTTTTTATTGTATAATCTTACCTTCTCCTTGATCTAATATACCATGAAACTTTGCATCCAAGATCATTTGAGACAATTTCTTTTCAACTTGTGGCATAGGTAGCTTTATAGTTTTTGCGATATAATCAACTTGTACTCTACTGTAGGGTTCAATAATTCTACACAAGTTTTGCTCTAACATATTATCGTATAGAGTACCCAAATGTGCCCTAACTATAACATCATCTTCTAGTTCTCTTTTAAATAATTTAACTGCTTGTTGAAAGTCCGCTAATGATCTTTTATGAGATGCTTGAGCTACAGCCTTCATTGCATCAATATCCCGACCGGCGTATTTAATTGCCAACTTTCCGCTTACAATTTGTTGGACATCTTCAGGGGTATTAAGCATGATCTTTGACAACAACATATATTTTAAGGCTGTTAATGCTTTAGGAGATTCGACACTGTCAAAACCTTCAAAAGCCTCGTAAAAATATGAATAAGCTGTTTTAAAGTCTTTTTCATCTGCGGCATGTAAAACACCTGACTGAAGATCCAAAGAAGCTTGTATTTTAGGTGGACAATATATAGCGTTTGCAGTTGTACGGGCTGAGGTAAGAGCTGCTCTAGCTTTTGGTAAATTACTTAAAGCATGGTACGTTTTACTTTCTAACAGTTGCACCTCTACCAATAAATTTTTGTCATCTAGTTTTTTCAATTCCTTCAATAACGTTGATCCTAATTGAAGAGCTTCCGAGAACATTCCAGTATCGAAATATAGGGCTACTAATCTCGCCTCCAATGACTGACGTAAAAATGTTCGTTTTTCCTCTTTCGCCCATTCTATACATTCTTTACAAAGTTGTACTTCTATACCAATGCCCGCCTCGAGATCCAAGAAGAAATCTACTAGAGATCTAACTAATTTTGCTGCTTTTGCTTTACTAATTTCACTTAAGAAAGGACGTGTTTGTTTGATCAGGTCTGCAAGCTCTTTGGCCTTACCTTCTTTCTTATACTTCTCGCCGAGGTTTAGGATATCCTGTTCTTTATTTTGGATACTTTTTTCATCACTGTCTTCATTATCATCACCACGTTTTAATTTCATCAAATTTTCATGCTGAGAACGAACAGATTGGCTTCTTTCAAACAACATTGCGCCCGCCATTTTTAGTATTAAAAGAGCACTGTCATCCAAAATCTGACACACGAATTATTATGGATGTTGTTACAAACACGTTTCAATATCCCAAAATATAATTGTGTTTAATGTATAGAAACTAACACCAAATAAGCGTTAATATTTGTAAATAGTTAAAATGTAAACGTTAAATAATTAATTTGATTTAAACGTAACATATTCTCTGTAATAAAATCTATTAGAGTTTTAAAGAAAACTAAGGACTTACGAACCAGTAGACACAACTATTTTTATGACAGTTAATTTAAAAAGTGCCATCTATAATGTTATTATGAATGCTGAGAATAAACATGACTTGCTTTTTTAACGTTTTCAATGCGTTTTCACAAAACATAAAAGACTTGATGTATGATTCAAATTATTTTTCTCAAATATCATTCAGCGGTAATACCCATTCAGCAATATACAGGGCTACTGTACTGTCTGTGATTTACTTTAAAAATACAAAAACTTGCATATAAATAAAGGCAAAGGCAAAGAGTAGATAAGACAAGAGACGACAGTGAACAACAGCGTTGCCAATGGTCCAAAATTATATTCCACGGCGAACATACCCAAATTCCACAAAATTCCACAATCACTAGCCAGGTTCGGTCTTTAGGTCTGCGACCAATGCGACATTTTTTTTTATATAAACCACGTGATCTTAAAGGGATTTTACATTATATAGTGACGTGTGATATGTGATATGTCGAAAATTTCGTCGGATTGCTTGCAGATCTAAATACCGAACCTAGCTGCTGACCTCGACGGCGACGCTCTTTTTACAGAAATCTGTAAAATTATGATGAGTCCTATAATGTTTTTTTTACTATTAGCTAAATAAGAAAAAAAAAGAAAAAAAGGAATAATTCCGAAAATTCCACAAAATTCCACATTTATTCTATTCCACAAACGTTCCACAACATTATTACGAATTCCACACATTTTGTGGAATTCCACAAAGATTGGCAACGCTGGTGAACAAAGAAGTCGAATTTCGCGAGAGAGACGCAGATATATTAAAATTTAAAGGGCCCATCAAGTCCCATTTTGTCTGTTGCCAAGTATATTTCTTTGAAAAATAAACAAGATTTTCTGAAAATAAATTAATAACATAAGAAGGATATAAGTAACGTATGTTAATACGGAAATGTAAATTTTTAGTTTAGGTTGGTTGAGGTTCTTTTTTCGCAATGTACTGATAATATCAAAGAAACAGAATGACTAAGTTGATCGATTTCAAAGATAAACAGATAAAATCTCAAAATCTGACAACGGCGTATTTTATCTAATCTAAAATATAACCTATGATTTTAGGACGCTAATCAGCTGTGCTCACGGTGCAAAAACTTAAATGGCAGGATTTGGAACAAGAATTGCCAAATCCTGCTGTCAGAGGGCGCCACTGTCGATTTAAAAATACGTGGGCGGAGTAAGAGGGAAGGAAAAGTTTCTTCCCGCCACCCGTCTCATCATAATATTTCGTCATTTTTCCCGGCAGCCATCAGTGCCTAGCTTTGTCTGGAGCTGAGAGGAATGTGTTTTGTGGCTGTGAGTGTCGTAGTGTTCATTCCCAAAGTAAAGACGTTTTATGTTGTGTGCCCGGCCTTTTATAGTGTATTATTTTAAATTAAGAACTTTTATTTTGTGTATCCATTTAGAGTGAATTATTCTTTATATGTAAGTACCTAGAAATTAGTTTATAATAATATAACCTGCTCGATAAAAGCTAGGTTAGGTTAAGTTAATTGTACCTTGGAAATGGCTATCGATGGAAGATTGATATTCATTAATTGGTTAGATTTACTAATATAATTTACATTTTAAATGCCATCAATTGTCATTCCTAAGGTAGCTTGATGCAGCTTTTCGTAATCGTATTGTACAATATGATCGAAAAAAAACGGCGTCACCGTTGGCTATAAATAAATATCGCTGTCATTCTCTCTCTATATGTAAAATTATATGAGGAACGTCATCGACCGCGTCATTTCCAAGCCAACTTGACTTCGTTTTTTCGATCATACGGTATTACTTTAGTATTACCATGTACCTAGGTATAGAAATTTAGAAAACAAAAAGAATACAAAAATAGTTGTATATATATATATTTTATCCGAGCAATAATTGTAATGTTTAATTTTTAGTTGCCTATAAATTTAATGAGCCGCATTTGTATTGTAAAATTTCGAAATCTACGAAAAAAGAAAAAATAAATAAAAATTTATAACAAAAAATAAATGATTTTTATTATAAACTTCCTTGTAATATCTGGTATATAATCAATTCACATGTGTTATTAATCATACACCTATTATTAAGTTAAATCTGATAGTACTTTTTGATTTTGGTATAGAAAATATTGTAATGTGATTTTTACCGCATGTGTATTGTTTAACGATTATAGGCTAGATATTTGTTTGGCAAGTATATTAAATCAAACATCTTTTACAACATATTTTTTAAAAAATATATTGTATAAGATGTTTATTTAACTTTACTTGAAACAAAATATCTGGTATAAAATCATCCTAGTTTAAATATTGTATGATCGAAGAATACGGCTTCAAGTTAACTTAGAAATGACTATTGATGACATTAACCATATAACTTTACAAAGAAAATGTTATCGATCGTCATTTTTAAGTTAACTTGGAATCGTTATTTTTCGAACATACGGTATATTAAATTAATTAGGTGTAATATAATACTATAGATGGCGCTGCTAAAATTGCTTTGAATGCAATGCAGATTTCTTTTTAAAATTTAATTGCAGATTTCTTTTTTTAAATTTAATTTGTAGTTCTAAATCCGTGTCATAGATGGCGTATCAAAATGTTGTCCTAATTTTTTGTACGGAAGATTTCGTTCTGTTTTAATCTGTTCTGTGGCTGTGCTCAGAGGCTGTGCTAATCAAGCTTAAACATAAACAAATCTGATTAGTTGTTTTCTTGCATTTTTGCCTTTTTAAAGTGTGTTTTCAGAGTTTTTCGATATCTTATCGTTTTGAGAGTTTTTAAGGTTTAATTTTAGTATCGTTTTTGTTGCGTACTAATTTGTAAATATTGTTAAATATGAATACTGAACAGGACACGAGTAGCAGGAAAAGACGAGATGGTGGCAATGTGTGTGCTTACAAAGACTGCAAAAATAGGTCTTATTCTTCGACAAACATAATATTTCACTCTTTTCCAAAGGATCCTGAAAAGTTATTAAACTAAGAAAGAAGACATGGTTAGAAGCTTGTAATATATTTTTACAAAAAAAATTCAGCAACTCTATTTTTTTGTACATAAACTCCACATTGTGATTTTACACTTGTTCAAGTCAATATATAAAAAGAATACACGTAAATAAAACATTTCTTACAAATCGACTTGGTCACTTTATCTTGTTTACAAACGATATACAAAATATTGCTTTTATTATCTTTATTCCCCGACAAATATGTTTCTAATTATAATTTATTTTATATATAATATTTAGAAAACTCATTTTTTTTTTCGTTTCTATTTATTTCTTTACCCATACAGTAACTATTTATAAGCTATACAGGCAAGTTTTAATAATAGTCTATTTTAAATTTCCCGCGAAAAAATTACGAAAATTTAAAGGGACAAGCAAGACGAGGTCACTCTCCCCACCACTCAAACATGAAAGGTACCGCGCGAACTGTCGTCTCTTGTCTTATCTACTCTTTGGCAAAGGTGTGGATCCGGTGGCTGACCTTAAAGGGATTATTTGCTGTAAATAGTCCAAAGATCGCACGATGTTGCCAGATTAGTTATTTTGGATTTTTTTTCAGTGGAAAACAAATCATATATGTATATTATTTACAATATTATATTATTATTTTAATTAAACAGAAATAAAACTCTAGATTGATGCTAAATTTAAAAAGCGCTTTATTAAAAATTCGGAAAATTAAAAGAGGTGTGTCCAAGTTTCTTCTTTTTTTTTGAATTTTTAAATGCTGTAACTCCATATCATGTTCATAAGTAAGTTTGATAACATTCCATTTTTCTGCTACCTTAAGATTTTGATATCTACACCTAATTTATATAATTTTCTTAGCATATCTGAAATATAAAAATATATGATTTATTATATAATAATTAAGATATCTTAACAGTTATTTTCCACACCACAAAGAATATGTAGTATTAAAACTTAATATTATAAAAAATATCTTAAATCCACTTAAATCCAATACGCTCAAAATTAAACCTTCACCATATTGTCAAGATTTTATTTTGGCAAGATTTTATTTTGTCAGGAAACAAGAAATTACAGTAAATTAAATAATATAATATACCAAGTACAGGATATTAAATACTGCAATATATTCTACGACATAAACTACCATCGCTCTCCTAAAGAGTAAAAAAAAGATAAAACATATAAAGATATTTTCTATAGATTTTTAATACCCTGAAGATCAGACAGGGAGCACTTTAGACCCTATGTTTATATGAGCTTTTTTTTCTTAAAAATACATGGGCAGTCATACCCTGTATTTTTTTTAGACTATATGTAGAAAACAACCTGTTTATTCACATTGCTCGAAGCTTTCATCGAACAAATTTTGTATCAAAGAGGCAACAAATTCTTGTTTACTCTTGTGTTGTTTTGGGGGTGGAAATTGTTAAAAATCTACAAAAACATAATTAGTATGGCCCAGAATCTTCTTAAATGTGGTTTTTTATTGATTTCAAGGCAAAATTAATGAAAAAAGTAAATATCTTGTATAAGTTAAATATTCTTGTTTTGGGGCTTGGAAATTGATAAAAAACTACAAATAGATATTTTGTACAGAACAGAATCATGTTAAATGAGGCTTTTTATTGATCTCATAGCAAAATTGGTGAAATAAAAGCAAAAAATCTTGGCCATTACATTAACTAAGAAAATGTCTTGTAGAAGTTATAAATAAGGGTATTACTGTCTTGTTTTATAATTTATAGATGTAATAAGTCTCTATTTAACTAAATATTGCATTATTTCGGAAAATATCGAACAACA